ATCCATTGTCAGTTGTCTCTAAAACTCCCAAGAAGTCCACAGATAAAAAGGATACACTCAGTGTAGACTTTCAACCAACATGGCCAAAATAATCTAATCCTTACCCTGGCTCAAAGCTTGATTGTAATGGGTTCAGACAATCAATATTTTCCAGTTACATCTGAAGTTGTGAGGCCAGCATCTTCTTGATCCCCTTGATCAGCAAAGTTATATTTGTGATAAGCTAATAATAATCCTAGCTCTCTTAGATCACAAAAAAATTTTTTTTTTTAATCTTAAAGGAGTCTTAGGGAAAGGACATGTCCTACTTTCAATAAGGCAATAATCATTTCCCTTAATTGGGGGGACAAACTATAGAGACAAATCATTAGATTCTAGAAGATTGATTGGCAACCTATCAGCCCTGTAAATAAACAAAACTAATTTGATTTCCTCTCAAATTATTCTGCTCAATCGCAGAGACCTGTAAACCAGTTGTGACCTCAGTATGGCTATCTCCAAGTTGAAGTAGAATTGATTGACATACTGCATCCCAGTAATAGCAGCCATGGCCTATTCTGTGCACAGCAATTGTGGCAGAAAGGTTGTTGCTCTCCTCAAATGTGTTTCAGTCTGTTTTGTTTTGATGTGATGTGTCCTGATATGTCTTTAGTTGATACTTAAGCTGTTGTCCCACCTGCCTTTATTATCCTCTGATTAAACTCGGGTGCTCACCCATTAAACTCGGGTGCTCAGCTGGCTGAAAAAAGAGGATTAGAAGTGATGGTGTCTATCACATGGTGCCTTCAGCTTAGCTAAGACTTGTACAATTTCATTAACTTACAACATAGGAAATGTTCCAAGTACAGTACTTTCAGGAAACCATTAGGACATGCTTTGTTTACTCTCCACTGGTTATGATTACACACTATGCTAAGTTATCTATGACTTATTAACAAGAGTTGTCAGGTTCACACAACTCCCGAAGTGTTATTGAAAGGGGTAGCATATAGTACTCTGAATAAAATCAGTCAATCATCCAATTAAACTCGTATTGTATTGGATGAATCCAGTGTCAAGGCTTATGAACAAAATTATTTTGGCTAGTTTAGTCAATTTCTGGTTGATTTCCTCCATCTCTTTTGCAAGTACATTAGATGATGGTAAACTCCTTTATCTGAACTCCAGCTAGCTTGAAGGACACACCCATGTAGTCTTCTTAGAGACAATATAGAAGTGATTGACCTTTGTCTTCTTCAGGTTATTTTTCCAAACTCTACAGCCCTGGCATTTCCTGGGAGTCTTGAAGGGCAATTTAAATATCCAAAAAATTCTTTTCCAACCCAGCACAAATTATTAGACTACAAACTCCCATCATCCTCTCGTCCCTGTGACCAAAGAGGAATTCTGACTGAGATGGGAATTGTGACGTGAATTGGATTAGGAAAGGATCTTTTAATTTATAAAGCTCTGAATGGAGATATGATGAGACATAACTTTGGCAGAGAGATTGTCTGTTTGGCAAGTCTTGGTATAAATGTTTCCTGTCAATAGAGGGAAGCAAAGATCTAATTTACCTCCTTTTGGTTGATTTGCAGACAGAAGAGAAAAGATAACCAACAGTTACACTCTAATCTCATTTTAGCTAAAAGAACTACATTTGTGTTTTAATTTGAAGGTAGAGAGTAATAAAACTAATACTACTAATAATAATATCTATGGTTAAATTCAGAAAATGTGCTATATCATTGTTGATCCAATAAGCCACAATTAACTGAGATCACACAAGATAGTAAACCATAAACCACACTTTGCCATTTACAAGGGCTGGCTTTTCATAACATGCTAAAGTAAAACCAAAGAAACTATGTTGTGACGAGTTGGCTCTGGGTGCATCAGATTTAAGTGATAATTACTTATTTTGAGATAAGGCTATGTAATAAATTGTGTTTTCCTATAAAAGCCAGACTATGTTTGAAGTTCCTTGAAGAGGCCTTTCACTCAACATCACTTTGGTACAGGGGTGTCCAACCTTGGCAACTGTAAAACTTGTGACTTCAACTCCCAGAATTCCCCAGCTAGCCATTCTGGGAGTTGTAGTCCACAAGTTTTAAAGCTGCCAACGTTGGACACCCCTACTTTAGTAGGAATGCAGTTTCTCCTAAAATTAGGGCCTTTCTTCATAGTCAGTTAATACGTTCTCCACTTGTCCTTGAGTCAGTCAGAAAACTAAAGTGTTTGAAAAATGTTGCTGTGCTCACTGCCAATCTTTATTCAGATTCTATGTTCTAACTTAGCTGCTGGGTGTGATGTTCTGGTTTCAGAGGACAATGTGGTGGTGGTGGTCCATTGGAGGAGTTAAAAAGTGAAGAGAGAGGTCACAACTGTGCAATCAGTCATAATAGATTTATATTTAGATAATCTTTATTGTCATTTTTTACTGTGGGCACAATGGTGCACATTAAAAATGGAATTTAGTTGCTTGCTCTCAAAGTGTAAACATACATAACACACATTTAAACATACTATATACAACATAGGTATAGACCTACACCCTTACATATAAGTAACATATAAATATTATTCACTGTCCATCTTGAATACATAACGGAAGGAGGAAGCTTTAGAGTTCACAAGGTTGCTACTGTATGGAACAAAACTGTGACTGAATCTGGTTGTTCTGCTTTGGATACCACGAAGCCTCCTCCCAGAAGGTAACAAGAAAAACAGGTCATGAAGATGATGTGTAGTGTCCCAGACAATCTTACGGACCCTGCTCAAGCAACGCTTATATGCTATGTCCTGGATGGAAGGGAGGAAACTGCCAGTAATCTTTTCAGCCATCTTCACCACTCTCTGCGCCATCTTCCTGTCTGAAGCAGTGATAATATAATGCATCCAGAATGGTATGGGGTCTCCTGCTTGCACAGGGGTTAGACTAGAAGACCTCCAAGTTCCCTTCCAACCGTATTCTGTATTCCGACAATCGTGACTCCATCGTCATGTTTTTTAAACACTATACCCCTCTGTGAATGCCATGTGGGCGGTGCATGTTAAAGCCATTGATTAAACCTTGAGATTTCACTGCTCTCTCACTTTCTCAATATTACCAACTAGTAGGAAATTCCCTGCCAGTCTGTATTTGTGATTAGCAAATGGGTTTTATAGATAAGCTAGATAAATGGCCCTGCTCTTTCCCCCACTAGAAAAAAAATGGGGCCAGAGAAAAGTGCCTTGAACCAGATCTAAATGACTAATAGGTGACATGTTCATCCTGTTGCTATGAGTCACCTGACTGTGGCGATGCCATCAGCTGTCATCTTAAGAAAAAAGTGGCACTTTAAAACTTTAACAGAAAAGGGTGATTTAAGTTTGTTTTAATCATGGAGGAGGACAAGATGAAGATCTAGTGCAGGGGTAGGCAACCTTGGCTCTTTTATGACTCGTGGACTTCAACTCCCAGAATTCCTGAGCCAGCACAGCTGGCTCAGGAATTCTGGGAGTTGAAGTCCACGAGTCATAAAAGAGCCAAGGTTGACTACCTCTGATCTAGTGGTTAAGGAATCAGGCTAGAAACCAGAAGTCTGTGAGTTCTAGTCCCGCCTTAAGCATGAAAGCTGGCTGGGTGATTTGGGGCCAATCCCCAGGAGACCGTGGGTTCTAGTCCCGCCTTAGGCCTGATTGGGTAATTTTGGGCCAATTACCAGGAGACTGAGAATTCTAATCCCACCTTAGGCCTGAAAGCTGACTGGGTGACTTTGGGCCAGTCACTCTCTCTTGGTCCAACTCACCTCACAGGGTTGTTGTTCTGAGAAAAATAGGAAGAGGAAGGAGTACAGTATTAGGTATGTTAGTTACACTGAGTTATGCATGAAAATAATAAAGGTAGGAAAACAAACAGACATGGAAGAATAGAGAGGTGCCTGAGTGCATATATACCATCGTGGGGGGGGGGAAATACTCTCAAACCCCCATACACATAGCTTTGACCTTGCTTTTACATTAGCAAGCAAAGCTTGTTTGTTTGTTGTTTGTTTGTTACATTTAATGGTTACACAACTCCAAATTTAATCTGTTTAATTTCAGAGTTTTCCTGGAGTAAGCATTTTATTTTTAATTAGTTATATGATTTGGATCCTTGCTTTCTTGCTCAAGTTTGTATTGCTTAATTTTGTAATAGATTGGTTTTTTCATTAATTGGCTCTTATGATTAACACACTATTTACATTTGTGCATTATCCATTTATCTCATGGATAGGATAGGTTGGCCTCCCTGACTACCACTTGTTTTTTAAAATCAAGATATGCTGATATATATAAATAAAATAAAATATAAAATAGCTTTCCCTGAATTATAAGGCTGTTGTCTGAATTAGTCTCTTTCATTCTGACTAAGTTTCTTTCATTCTGAATAATGGTGCTCAGTCAGACACGACAGAAGCCTACTGAACAATGAACAAATTAGAAAATTCTCTCTGCCTTATAACTCTGAGACACATATCTACAGAATCTCACTTGTAGCCTGCTCAGGATGCTGGCTGAGAATTACATCTATTTTTTAATTTAAAAATTAACAAAGAGTTCCTGGCCACAAGATGTGCCCAAATAATAGGACAGATGAGAAGAAAAAACTTACTCCTAAAATAGCTTCAGATGGTTTTGCACATTAAAGAGAAAAAGGACTCCATCTCGTTTACAAGCTGGTTGGATAACAGCAAAGAGGAATTTAACAAGCCCATGGCTTCCTCTTAGTTTTCAACTACAGTAGTCGCACACACACACACACACACACACACACACACAGAGAGAGAGAGAGACACACCAGCCTTTTCCTGTGCAGTCTCTCTCTCTCTCTCTCTCTCTCTCTCTCTCTCTCTCTCTGTGTGTGTCTGTGTGTGTGTGTGTATTTCTGGCAAACCCAGCCAGGAAATAAGTTTGTAATCATGTGCTTTGAGCCCAGGCATTTTACACGCAGGCTGTCTATCAAGACTCAGAAGCTCTTCCTTGCTGAGGACATACGCAGAAAACACTTTCGCAAAACCAAGTGTTAGGAAGCCACATCCAGGAACTTGAAAAGAAAAGATGCGCCTTGGACAGTTCAGGCCCTAAGCTGGGGGAGCTACATTGATCTGGACCCATCATCTTTTTACCGAGCACCATGTTTTCGAGGAAGAAGCGTGAGCTGATGAAAACACCCTCCATCTCCAAGAAGTGCCGAGCGGGGAGCCCTGTGCCCCCAGCCTCCTTGGTAAGTAGGGTGCGACTTTTCTGTACCTGGACCGGTGAAAACATGGATGCTCTTGTTTTACACCTGCAGTTTCACAGAAGCAATTTTTAGGGTGCTGAAAGCCGGGCAGGACTGCATTGGTTGAGGCTGCATTTATTCATTTGCCTTGAACTGAACGTCCCAATTGGAAATCGGAAGGGATGGCTGTGTTTTCCTTGAAAGGGCATGTGTTTCAATACAGAAAGTCTCAGTTTATACATTGCACTGAGCTATGGTTCATTTAACCACAGTTTAATAAAGAACAGTTGGCTGGGTTGTATAGTTTAGACAGCCTGCTAAACTATAAATCATGATTTCTACATTGCAATAGCTCTTTATGTATCCAAGGTTGTGTAAAATAGCTGGCTGCACTCCAACCCATAATTTGGTGTTTCAGCACATGTATTTATGTTCATGCGCATTGGAGACCAATAACAAAAACATTGGGAATAAGGCCTGGTGAGCTTTGCAGAGTGGCAAACAACTCCAGCAGTGAAAATGTCAAAGGTATTTTGCAGAAGCAAAATCGGGTAGTGATTTACCAAAAGAAGAAATTAACTATGTTTTCTATCTATTTTATTTATTTATTTACTTGCCTGAGCATGTCCTTATGAACTTCTGCAGTAGCAGGGGGGGTAGCAGACACAGGGCATATCCAAAAGGAGGAAAAGGTAATATAGGTAGTCCTTGACTTACGATCACAATTGTGCCCCAGATCTTTGTTGCTAAGTGAAACATTTGTTAAGTGAGTTTTGCCCCATTTTACGACTTTTTTTATTAAGTGAATCACTGCCCTTGTTAAGTTAGTAACAGGGTTGTTAAATGAATTTGGTTCCCCCATTAACTTTGCTTGTCAGAAGGTCACAAAAGGGATCACATGACCCCCAGGACACTGCAACCGTCATAAATGTGAGTCGGTTGCCAAACATCTGAATTTTGATCACGTGACCATGAGGATACTACAACAGTCGTAAGTGTAAAAAACCCTCATAAGTCATTTTTTTCAGTGCTGTTGAACGTGAATAGTCACTAAATGAACTTGAGGACTACTTGTAATTAAGATTACTGAAGCTTGTAAAAGCTGGAAATGAATCTAGTGATAATTCTGAACATATTTTTCCCCATTGAACTGAAAGTGGTTTCCGAAGAATTTTGAAGAAGTTTCCCATGGTACATTCAAAGTCACTTTGGGTTTTTTTTGGCCAAGCAGACTCTTGAAACAATAGCCCAACCTGTTTTACTGCTAGCTGAAGCCACAAAGGAGAAGAACACATACAATGCAGAGAGTGGGGCCCTATTCAAGCAACTCTCTGTTTCTAGGCAAAATAACAGCCTCTCTCCATTGACAGCCAACAACAAATGCAATTAGAATGAATGCAACAAAATCTATTTAGGTAGCCTTCAACTTATCACCACAGTTGGGACCAGAATTTCTGTTGCTAAACAAGGAGGTTGTTAAGTGAGCCGTGTCTTGATTTTTACTACCTGTTTTGCCATGTTTGTTAAGCAAGTCACTGCAGTGTTAAGTGAATCATTAAGAAAATCTGGCTTCCTCCATTGACTTAGCTCAGCACCCCTAGAACGCTGCTGATATATTCTCACACCCCTTACAAAAGTTCAAAATAACGGCAATGAATTATGCATATACACTATAATTTTGAAAACCCAAGTTTCTGCAACCCCTGGAATATCGTCTCGCACCTCCAGGGGATGCGAGTACCCCCAGTTGGGAACCCCTGACTTAGCTTGTCAGAAGTTGGTGGAAAGGTCACAAATGGTGATCACATGGATATCAAGATGTTACAACCATTGTAAGTACAGCTGGTTGCCAAGCACCCACATTTTTATTCTGTATTCCTGGGGATGTTGCAACAGTCGTTAAGTGCAAGGACTGGTCGTAAGTCACTTTTTTCAGTCTGTTGTAATTTTGAACGGTTACTAAATTAATGGTTGTAAGTCAAGGTCTATCTATAGATTGGATAGGAGTATGTGAGTGTGAATGAAAGTAAAGGATATATTTTGTGTGTATAACTTATGACCAGCCTGGCTGTCCCCATCCGTCATGGATAGCCAAGTATTTCCTTCTGTTTTTCTACTCTGTAGCAAAGAGAAGGTCACGGTCCACCAGATTCTTTGCACGTGGTGAAATCAGGCAGTTTTTAACTACATATATGAACTCTAGAGTCAAAGTAAAAATGTAAGACTTGTAATTGATGGGATAAAAGGCCTCTCCAGCATCCTGTTTTCCATTGAGGCCAACCAGATGTCCCAATGGAAAACTCTTGTCAATGAAGGAAATGGTACTCAGTGATAGATTTGTTGGGTTCTTGATGTTCTCTGAGTGTGTTCCTCTTCCTGCAGACATTTTATTATCAGGCTAGGTAACAACATCCATGGAGAAGAAAAGCAAACTCAAAGAACACCAAGAGCCCAACAATTCAACTCTGAGCCATCTATATTCTCCATTACTGAGAGGTAGAAATTTGGTGAATAGAAAAATGATAGCCATGATCAATAACTGTTTATATTCTCTCTCTCACTTACTTCCATTGATTTATCTAATCTTTCCTTCAAAACAATTGTGACAGTCAGCAACAAACAACTTAAATTACATCCCTTTGTTATCTTCTGGTTTGTCTGCAACCTCTCCCCATTCAATTTCTCTGGATGACCCCTGAATTCTAGTACTGTATTAGCAAGTGAGGAAAACCTATCTTAGATCAATCAATTGTTTATTGCTTTGATTACGGATCATAACAAATAAGATAAAAACTACATAAAGGAGATCAAAGACTAATAATGTTCTTTAAAATATGCGAAAATCAGTAAGAATATTAAAACATTATTATTGCAGCAGATAAAACAACAGGAAAACAGCAGGAACTTTTGCTAAAAGTCATATCTCTACTTAGCAGCAATCCTTGTAAAGCTTGCTAATCTCCATAGTGATATTTCCTTATCTAAAGTCATTAAATATTCAACCTTATGTGAATCAGGCCAAAATCAAGAGGGGCTCCAAAATTGTTCCACGTGCTAAAGTGTAAATAGAGCAGTATAATAAATAACGTATAAAATCATCTATAGTATCCTTGGAAAACGGGCTGATGTGCATACAGATAGTCCTTGACTTTGGACCATAATTCAGCCCAAAAGTTTTGTTGCTAAGTGAAACATTTGTTAAGTAAATTTTTCCCCATTTTAGGACCTTTCTTGCCACAGTTGTTAAGTGAATCCCTGCAGTTGTAAAATTAGTAACATTGACTTTGCTTGTCAGAAGGTCGCAGAAAGGGGATCATATGAACCCAGGACACTGCATTGTCATAAATATGAGTCAGTTGCTGAGCAGCTGAATTTTAATCATGTGACCATAGGGAAGCTTCAGCGATCGTAAGTGTGAAAAATGGTCATAAGTCACTTTTTTTAGTGTTGTTGTAACTTAGAATGGTCTCTAAATGAACTATTGTAAGTCGAGGATTACCTAAATGGGATGTTAAGAAGCTGGCTGTCTCTAGTTGCCGATGCCATTTGCTGGAACCATAAACTTGTGTTTCTTGGAGGGATGGCGTTGTAAGACACATCAGATAATATTTGACTTACTTTAGCTATTTCTCTAAAGAAATTAAATCAGTTTCTTAATTATTGTTATTGTGTGTTGTGACTTCATACATCGTACAACAATGACGACAATGATACACGTGTTGCAGTTTCTTTTTAATCTTCGGTTTTTAAGCTAATATGAATTTATTGTGATGTCTGAACTGAAGACTCTCTTAATTTCTGCTTTTTTGTTTTTCTCTGCGGCTTCAAAAATATTTGACTTGGAAAAAAAGCAGATGAGATTAAACCAAAGTAGAGTTGTATAAATCATGTTCTTCTCAGAATTGCCAGATACAAAGAGTGGTACCTTTAATATTTGGAAAGGAGAGGATTTTCCACAGGTTTTAAAAGCTACATCTGCAAAAAAATGTCGTTATTTTACTTACTATTAAAGATGAAGATAGATTTTCTCTCTGTCCATATTAAATGGTTGGACCTTAGAGGATGCTCTTTAAAAAAAAAAGTTGATACGGTCTGGAAGAAGCAACGCATCATAAATATACAGTATACCATGATTTACTATGAGAATTCAATATCTTTGGATCTGAATACAGATAACGGGTTATTACCACCTTACAGATATTATTTCAGTGCCAGAATGTTTTATACTTTGCAATTAGCCACTATGTATTTTACATAGATCTGATTTCTAACTAGATTGACCCACATTGGTCTTTCTTAAGCTGTGCCTTGCAGAAGTGTTGGACTTCAGTTCCCACAATGCTTAGCAATAGAGCCATTATCTGTGCTGCCTTGGGATTATGGGAGTTGAAGACCAAAAGAATTCCAGGGGACTCCAAATTGAACAGAATGCTTCTAAACAAAATGTTAGCACTTCGTTGTGGTCTCCTTCCATTCTTTACTTTCCCATCTACAATTGTCTGTGTATCTGTGAGCGTGTGCGTTTTGTATGTGCATTCATGTGCATGTAAGCACACTCACACTTCTGTGAATGCAAGATAACCCTTCGTGTATCTGCTGAATCAGACTGGCATCTATATAGTGACTGGAGTTATTGGTTTTCATTGTGCTAGAAAACATGTTGTTCGTATTATGTTACTTTGAAAATGGAGTGCCCTATCTTTGGCTGTTGCAAGAGTGGATGGGTGAGTTACGAGTTGCACATGCTTCCTTTTACGAGAGGGTGTCTCAGTTTGAAAATGTTGATTCTGTCAGTGGTTGGGGTGTAGCCACAAAAATGTTGAAACGCACAATACGAAGCAGCTTGGAAATCTACATTCTGAAGTAATTGCTTGAAGATAAACTCAGTCGGTGAACTCTAACTATCCTACTTATCCTTCCAATATTGTAAAATATTATCTTTTTATATATATAGTGGAGAAATAGGGTGGGGTGGAGAACATAAAGCAAAACATTAGCAGCTT